GTGATGATCCTCTCGCTCACGTTGGGTGTGATAATGTTTTCTGTATTATCTTTGGAGTTGTCATCGGCATTTATCTTTCATACCATATCATGCACATGCCTTCTCTCTCATCTTCTTGTTTGATCTATTCCTCACCTCCTGTGTATCTCACTCATGTCTTTGATTCCTGTACAGATCTCTCATGCACCTCCTGGAACATAGGCGTGCACTTTTGATATTAAAAAGTTCCATTGCACCTGTCCGGTTCTTCCTTCCCACAAGCCTTGGCTCATCATCCAAGGACCTTTTGATGATTTCTTCATCAATCACACTCACCCCTTTGAGGCCGCATGTGCCAGCAGCAATGCTGGTATGATTGCAAATGCCATTGTCGACATCTGGCGAGCAGAAGGGGTCTTCCCAGTGCTGAAGTACGAGGATGATTTGAAGGCTTTCTGATTCCCTTCACCATCTGGTCCTTTCGTTGATGGTGACTTTCACTATGACTATGATCAGGATGAGATGCTTCGCCACATTTCTTCCCTGGGAGTACCTTGGCATGACAAGAAGGGAGATGAACGGTTTTCCTTCGTGACAACCTTCATTGGGTTTCTTTGGGACATTCCTCAGAAGCGTGTTAGCCTTCTGGAGGGAAAGAGAAACAAATTCCATCAGTGTGTTCTCCAATTTCTCATTGACTTTGAAGGTCGACCTTGCCACTTATGCAATGTTGAAAAGATTCATGGCTCTCTTTGTCACATCACCTTCGTTTACCTTGATGGTCGTTCCCATCTCCCATCCCTTTCTAACTTTGCATCTACCTTCCATGGTGACGAGTTCCTTACGAAGTATTCCCTGCACTCACTAATCACTGACTTGAAGTGGTCTTGAACAATCCCTGCCAAGTGTGACGACCAGTGACATGCTGTGACAGAGCATCACAGGGCCAATTTCTTAAGACATGGACTTTGTACCTTCCACAGCACCAATTCAATATATTTTTTGCAATTGGTTTGAAGGAATGATGTGATTTAATCCACTGAGAGAGTTCTCCATGTAGCAATTGTATTTATTATTCCAAAAATGCGAAATCAGCCTGTTCTCCCTGCCAAATATGGCAGTCTGGAGAGATTGGTTAATAACCTTTCAACCACAGCACGTATGAACATGATTTGCAGGAAGATTTTACTTAGAATTTAAATTACAATTGATCTACAGAAGCAGAATTTTTATTTGTAGCTCCTGTGCCGAGATAGCCTCAAAAATTGGCACTTTAACATGGTTAAGGGGCAATTATTAAAATTCTGGTTCTGTAGAATTAGAGCCACATAATAATTGATGATTTTGTCTCTGCATACCTAAGCTCAAATCCTATCTGTTATGAAGCCATTAGCTCGAGTAGCCAATCTTAGGTGAATAGGTATTGCATAGCCACCAAAGTGAAATACTTCTATGCATTTGAATAGAGAATATCTATGCAATTCTGGTGCACTTTCCCTCTTGTAAATCAGTGGAGAAATGACTGAGCTACATTGTTTACAAGTTGAGCTATCCTGAA